TGTTGCTTCTCTTGAAACGTGTCAGTTGCAGTGGTAAGACACATTTTACTTTGAAAGCGAAGGTACTTAATTTCTAGTTTCCATTGCAGTTTTATTGCCACTCAGCCACTAGTTGGCAAGTGGCTTTTGGTGCAGCAACCTCTTTTCAACCATGTCCAGGGACTGCCAACAACCTCCATGGGAACACACATTCTCACCAGGGCCTCGCTGACTGGTCTCTATGTTTATGTGTCTGAAGTCTTTGTTGCTAATTTTTATTCTCTTTAATGAAGTACACTCATGTATCCATGCTTGTCTAGTGGGAAGGGTTTAGAACAGAGAGGAGTGAGAGGCATGATGACAGTGACCCTCTCATTTTATAACCGGCACATTTTACAGGATTTTACATAGGAGTTTCCTATCAAAGGCTATCTTAACAACAACAGGAATATATCAACAAAGATACCAGTTCTATAGTTTGGATTGGCAATCCGGCTGCAGCCAATCATTTTCAGGGTTCACAAAGTATTAAATAGGATTCACATTCAGATGTAGAGATGGGATCATTGAAAATGTCTCTGTCTTTAAAAGAAAGAAAGAAAAGGATAAAGAACAGACGTACGTTCTCTCATACACTACATTAAATTTATTTGTCTATGTAAGTGGTCTGCACTATACCATGGCTTGCCTCATGGGAACAGTATGATAAACTTTCAGCCTAAAAAGGAGCAGATGTTTTGGCACTAGTGTGTTGAGCAGATCTGTGCAACATGCGGCCAGTCTGCTGTGCCTTTGAATCACAGTCACTGCTTTGGTCTTATTTCACTGGACCACAGTCAGAAACTGAGAGATCCATGGTCATTGGGGACAAAGTGTGAGAACAGACAACTATAACACAACTCATAATGCAATCAGACTGGTCTGACATTTGGTCTGGTCTTAATGAGTCACAGTTCAAATATAAAATTTACTTAGCTTTTTGGAAGTCCAGCTGAACAGAACTTAATTGCTATTTATAGATGTACTGAGGTGTGACTGACCTTCAAGGTAACACAGATCACATTGAGAGCATCTTTAATCTGTGGATGTTGAGTCCCGTGGGCCAGCTCCTCACATAGCCATATCCCCAGACTGCACAAAGCCACACACCTGACAAAAACAGCACAGTGTGAGCAAGCAGTTTTGCACTAAAGGTCTCTATAAATGCAGTTTATCGGAATCACTGCATATATTAATATTACACACAGGAACCAGCATAAAATAAAGAAATACTCGCCAACGGTGAGCACAAACAGATGTGGTTACATACTGAAGGAATTTATTAACAAATGATAACTTTAGGTAACTTGGGGCACCAGCGCAACATATGTGTAATGAAAATAAATAAATAAATAAATAAACTTTATAAACCCTTTACCTGGCAGGAGCAGAGGGTTCATCCCTGGCAGAGGTCAGGATGGTTTTGACGATATGCTCCTTAAAAAAAGAAAACAACAAAAAAACAAAAACATACAGCACATCAGTTTTCAATAGCAATATATCAGCTGACCACTAGTATTGTTATTATAGGCATTAATATAAAAAGTCATGTTGCAGAACTCAGATTGAAATACTGATGATAATAATTGGGATTATGATTTTTGCCATAATTGAGTAGCCCTTAAAGGTGTGTATAATAAATAATAAAGAGACTGCATCCTTAAAATTGACCTATTAGAGTAGCTTTGCATGATTCACTGTTCAAAATAATCCTTCTCTATCTTACACAAGGCCTCGATGTAGTCCTTGAGTTTGTCCAGTATCTGAAACAAGCCATTTTAGTTCATTTCCCCCTCCCTTTAAGCTAACCTCATTATTTGGCAATGTGTGATCTGAGCATCCATCATTTCAACACTATGTATGTCAGAAAATGAGGACAAACTTAATAGTTCCCAGTCAGACAAACAGGAAACAGATTCAAGGAACTACACCGTGTGGTGTTAATGCATATCGTAGACACATATGCTGGACTAAATATGGACACATAGTCACAGTTTAAACAGGTCAACACACACCCCAGACACGTTCACACACTCCCTGGTCTTGTCCCTCTGGTCAGTGTTAATGACCGCTTAGTGATTCAAAACAAGCTTCTGCCACATAAGAAAGCAGTGAGTGAGCCTGAGGCGCTGCCACGCATGGCATTAGCAGTTTACATGGCACCAACAACAATAACAACATCACTCCCATCGCCCTTAGCTCAAACAAGAATGGTTGATGAGACATTAGCCTATTAGTTTGCCTCCGAGATCCCCTATGGACAGCTGATGTTTGAACTGACCTGGATTACAAACAAAGTAGATAAACTTTTTGAGCTTTTGATGTGCGAGTTAAAAACCCCCAAAAACTAACACATTTTCAGACCTGTCAGTTTAACTGTATTGTCCTACTCTTCCCCGAACTTACAGGAAGATTAAAGTAATTTCTTAAAAAAAACGTTTTTTTTCTCAATATTTTATTGCGGTGTATTGTAATACTCCCCCAGAGAAGTGCATATGAGGTATGATGAACAGTTTATCCACTGTGGATACACTGAACCAGGCTGCGCTGCATATCATTTGCAGAAAGGATGCTGCAAGATTAAAAATGAAGAATTTTCTGTGCATTTGTAACTGCTAGGATGGCTATAATTCCCTATTATCCAAACAAGGGGAGCCTCTGGTGAAGAATAATTTCAGCCACCTAAATAAACTACATTTACATACATTAGAAGGACAGCTCAGGCTGGAGACAAGGTTAAGGTTGAGATGGTTTGGACATGTGCACAGGAGGGATAGTGGATTTACTAAACAAAGGAAGTTGAATGTGGAGCTCCCAGGCAGGAGGAAAAGGAAAAGACTTAAGAGAAGATTCATGGATGTAGTGAAGGAGGACATGCAGAGAGTTGTTGTGACAGAGGGGGATACTAGGGATAAGGTAAGGTGGAAGATGATGATCGGCATTCACGTACCTTGACATCAGGGAACTTGGTAAGTACCACGTCAGCTGTGGTGGGGTGCAGAGCAGGAAGCTCCCCGTAAAAGTTGGGAAAGCACACCAGAGATCCGAGAAGAATCTGTGCTTCAACTCTTGGAGCCTTTGGAAAATAAAACTTGTTAGGAGGACAGGAATGAAAGAATCAGCTCCTGTAAAGCTGGAAACCAACATTGCAAATGGGAGGATTTCTTACATTGAGTGATGAGCAGGCAGTGACTCTAGAAGCTGCGATGATGAAATCCAGGATCAGCATGGTGGCTCCAGGTAGACCGATACTAAAGAATCTGGGACTACAGTGCTTGATGATGGTGTTCACAATGTCCTGTAAAAGTAATACAGTTTTTTAAAAACATTTAGCTTCAAAGGTGCATTCACAGTAGCACAGCATGTTTGCCTGCATGACTATCTTTTCTCCCCATTTCCCTGCTTTCCTGCACTTACTCTGTGCTTAAAGATCTGAATTTGAGTATTTAGCATTAATTTTTTTTTTTATTAAGAGCTGCAAGATTAAAGAAATCTGTAAAATATAAAATGTGCTGTTTGTTCATATATTATGTTCAAGTATAAATTTGAGACCACTCTACCTGGTCTTGGTGGAGAAGTCCTTGATGCATGATGTTATAGAAGTGTGTCAGATAGTCTGTGTTTGGTGAAACGTCTTGCCGTCTCTTCATGATCCTACAAATCAGCTTGTAGGCGTGAAGTTTCCCCTGCTTGTAACGCTCTGTCAGCATGGTGGCCTAAAGAGAAAAGATTGCTTAACTAACACTGAAACACATGTTATGTTATAACCCTTATTGTTACCTCTCTATCACACATACCTTAAAGAGCCAAGGGGTGAGGATTCTCAGGGGTGGGATCAGAACAGGGGGTGGAGGAGACGACTGGTTATCCAGAGAAATGCCCAAATTATCCCTGATCTGCAAACAGAAAAGCTCGTCATTGGAGAACATGTTCACTGACACAGGAGTTGCGGGTTCGCTGTATGTCTCAATTCTCACCTTGGCCAGGTTTTGCCAAAGTTCACACAAGTAGTCAAAGACCTGAGCGTGGATTTCTGGGTCCTTGATGCTGTTCACATCTCCCAGGATACCCAGCATCCTTCGCCACATCACTGTGGCAACATCTGCGTGCCATCCGGTCAGAGAGCCGCCTGCCATCACGCTACAGTCCTCACTGGGGAACTCACTCGTTTCTGGAATAAATGAGTCAATGAGAACATGACTGAGTCATCCTACAAAGTATTTCATATTCACAAACATGATTAAAGTACTACACTTTGTATGAACAGGAAAATGCATCTCAAAGTGAATGCCTCTGAGTATTACCCAGGTCATCGGGGGTCTGTAGGACAGAGTTGTGGAGTTTCTGGTCCAGCTGTAAATGGGTGTGGGAGTGGGAATGCGTGTGCTCAGTGTGCTCTGCTGTCAAAGTGGCAGGGGAAGGAGTCTGGGAGCGAGAGCCCCCGAGTGAATGCATGGGTGATGCACTCTCCGAACCTGGGAAAGAATACAGAAAATATCAACTCCTGATGAGGCAACGGGAGGATGAGATTCATGCTTTATGGTGGAATGTGAGGCTGAGAGGTTGTTTTTATTATGACTTATATCAAAGAAGGAGACTTAAAACCTAAGTGCTAAGTGGATAGTAAAAAACGTCATTTTAAAAGATCACATAGAAAACCAAGACAATCAGAAAAATACTTTCTTATGATAGTTTAGTCCATTTTTCTCTTTGTTCTGGATCACACTAATGTGATTTATAAGCATGTTATTTGATTCAACTATTATGTATTTTATTATTCTACTCTCATGCTTTTTATTGACACTCATCACTGTGATATTTTAAAAAATAAAATTCTGAAAACGTGATAGATGTTCTTGTTAATCAATAACAAAAGACTGCATTCAAAGTATCTGTTGATGTTGTACCTTTAAGAGTATTTCTAAATAGGTTTGCTCTACTGGGTTTCTTTTGCAGTGTGCCTATCATTATTTGGGTCCTTTTACATCATTTTAAATGGATACTCAACTTTGTGGTAAATGAGAGCCTGCACTCAAATTTCATATAAAATGTTCTTAGGGATGCACATCGCTGTAGAGAGGTGGTAAAGTAAAAAACGGGCTTGAATTAAAAAAAAAAGTGTGATATTCTATTCAGAGTAGGGCTGCTTGATTACAACAAAAGGCATGATTACTTAGTTGTTTAAAGTTGTAATCTTGATTAGTTAATATCTAACAGGGATTCATGAATCCTATAGGGAGTTAGGGCAGGATTGGGGTGTGTTTTTTACTGCAAAAGACCATCTTGGAAGGGCAACTGCTGTTCTGAAGCTTCAACCACTGGATGTCTGCAGGTGCAGGGAGATGAGCTGGTGAATAGCAAACTTCACCAGCTCAGGCGATCTGCACGGCAGCCACAAGATAAACGACAGAGACCTGAATGGGACAGCCGAGCTTTCAAAACTAGACTCTTAGGAAGGAAAAGAATGCCCTCGATTCATAATGGAAGAAAAAAAAATACTTTGCAGTATTATTAATACCTCCATCTTTTGCAGCAAAAATAATGGATAAAAGCATTAATTTTACTCCATCTTATTCTATTATAATAACCACTGGAAGCCAAAATTGAATTTACATTTTTATTAGATGCCCAGTCCTACTTTATCCTTCATTAGTGTTACAAGGATCTGTTTACAAAATAGGTGCTTATCGCAAACACCAACACAAACTGATAAATCTAAGAGGTTACACAGCCTACACACTACCATTTGTTTACTAGATTAAAGTAACCTTGCATAGAAACACTTGATAACCATTGTTAGTTTGTGTGTGTGTGCTTGCATGATCGACACAGAGAACCTACATTTCAGATGGACTTAATTTACAACGTGTTTACCAAAAAATTTGATAAACTGTATCAAATGGCTCCTAAATAAACAAACGTTATTTAAGCGTTAAATCAGTGTTATATAAGCATTATTTATTATTATTATTATTTAAATTCTTCTATCTTTATTAGAGTCAATTCCCCCCCCATTTAATCTACTGGGAAAACCCCTTAGATGGCATAAAAACACAGTATTTAAGGGTTCTGGTGAGCAGGCATTGAGCTGAAGTCTGTTATGTCCCTACCTGTAACCGTGACAGTGTGGCTCAGGCTGCTCGTCTCTGAGTCGATGTGAAGTGTCGTCAAACTGGCCACCTCGTGCTCTTCACAGGCCACGCCCCCACCAAGGCTGTCCTGATCCAGCGAGCTGCCTCGACCTCCTCCCCCTCCTGCTGCAGATCCAACTCCCCCTGCAGATGCCTCGGAGCTAAAAGTAAAATCTCCAAAAGAAAGAAAAGTCATCATTGCTGTACAGTTGTTGATTTTCCTCTTTTAATTTCAGCAGCCTGACAAACTGTGATGGATTATTTTTAAACACTTCACAAAAAGTTCTTCAAAGTTAAACAGAAGATGAGATGGCTTACTCCCACAGATTAATTTACCTAAAAAAAAATAAATCAATTTTGTGTTTTTCTGCTTCTCTTGGCAGAAAAAATGATTATTTAATAACATAAAACTATTTTACATGAACTAATAAAAAGTTTTGCACAAGATAACAGTTTTATACTTTAATATTGTTTTAAAAAGAGGACAAATGTGTGCTGTGCAGTATAAATAAACTGCTCATATCTTGTTCCTTACTATCAAATTTGCAGGTGGAGTACTGAAAGGCATTAAAGGAGTCTGACTGGCTGTCGGAGCTGATGACATCAGAACCGCTGGCACTAGCGGGTGACGTCCACTCAGAGGGAACCCCCGGATCATCGACAGGCCGAAGATCATCTAAGGGTCGCGATCCATCACGACTATGACTGGCCTCCAGGAGCTCTGGCAGATCCCTGGGAACTTCCAGGCTTCCCGGGCTGCTGCCACGGCGACCCTGTGTACAGAGGGGAAAGTGACGCTCGTATCTTCCATCTTATGACACAATCTGAAATTAGCGTGTGTGTTGTACTAACTGAAGTTCCTTTGGCCCTCAGTCTCTCCTGGATAAACTCATCCATGAGGTCAGAGAAGTTTGGGTTGCTGCTTCCAACATCAGTGGAGACTGGACGGGCCTTCTGGACCACCTCCTCTTTATTGGCTACAAACACAAATGCATAATGAGGCACAGAGGTAGACAAGGTTATAATAAACACACACACACACACACACACAGAGGAATGATAAAAACCATGAGCATTCACAAGCATAGGGAGCCATATAAGTAAGCAAACACACAAAGACAGACTGTGAAGCCCCTGTCAGACATTATATACAAAACTATTAATCTGTTAAAGTGACAGCATACTCCCATTCAGACATTGACCCCATCTTCAAACAGGCCAGCTCACTATTCTGATCCTCAACATCATGCAGCTGCTTCACCAGCAAGTCTCTCTTCCAACTCCACAGCCCTGAAGTCCAGCTGACAACCGCTCTTAAGGAAATCCAGGAAGAGACTCACTGGAGAGGAAGCTGAATGACATCATTCCCAGGCCAGCCAGCAGGTAGTAAATTTACATACCAGAGCCGAGCCTGGCTGGTTAGCGGCAACTGGACTTTCAAAATAAAATACTTCAATGCACACCTTTAAAGTTATTAAGACGTCTCAAAGTTTTATTTGTTGTGGTGTCCATGATGTTTAAGGTGCATAAATATCCAGTTTTTAGGTAGTTAACAGTTTAAGTCTTTTCTTGAGTTTTCTAATGAAAAAGTGACCAGGATGTGCATTCCGACAGGACTTGCTCAGATGCTGTCACATTTACAGAAAGGAGCAGATGCCTGAGAGGGGCTTGACTGATGCTTACCCACGCAAACAGTTTCAATGATGGAAAACTTAGACATACCAAGAAATAAGGAATTGTGTAACATGACTATCATCAGGTCTGACTTGTTGATAATCTTTGTAAACATCTAAAAATCAAAGATATGGTGACATTTTGTTTTTGATCAGGAAACAGTAATCCCAACATTGCCCACAGAGCATTAAAAGCACTATTTAAAGCACAGTGATCAGATGTTACACTGAAATGTCACAATATCACTAAAACAAACTAGTAACTGGTAAAATTGATGATTTAAGAGCAGTCCTGATGTGTGTGTATACTGTAGGCCTGAATGTTATTTAAAACTGTATTTTTTAAATAAAGAAAAGCCACAATAGCAGGCGCATCAATAACCACCAGGAAAGCAATGCAGGAGTTAATACACACCATGCAGACAGAGCAAGAGAGAGTATCACACTGTTAGCTCCAAACAAGCAGCATACCACAGGCCCACATTAGTGCAGTTATGTTACTATGAGTTATACTGCTGTTAGCTTGGATACAAAGATAGCGACCAGTGGGAGTTTATAAATTCTGATAGAGTGCATCTCTCCAACCCAAAGTCAGATGGGATTAAATCTGCTGCTTTCAGTATTAACTAACTAATATTTAATGTCTGCACCTGTGGCTGACAGAAGACAGCATGAGTTGGTTGCTTCTACCCCTGAATACCAGTTATTTTGTCAATAAAGCTTAATCCACAACCAAATTATTTACTGTGCCACATTTAACACAGAATTTACCACCGAACAAGAAACATTCAAAAGGGAATACCCTGCAGGTACACTTGTACATCACCCAAACACATCATCTGCTCCACCTCTGCAGCAGGTAACGTAAGCGCAACCATAAAAATTTAAGCAGGATCAGAATACTGTGGCTGTGATAGTACGGAGAGAACTTAAGTAAACTTACTGTTGCTTCTATTGAAGCCTTACAGATATCATTCCTGAATACTCAAAAGCAAAATTAGTGTGTTATTCAGACATGTGCCCTTGCCCAGATGTTAAATAATATTTTACTGTAATGGTTATTTGCCATGACATCACCAATAGCAACACAAAATGGAAAGAAAAAGAAAAGTGTTTTTAGTCTCATTAATGCACCATTAAAGCTAACATATACAATGCATTCCCTATTAGTACCATAAACAAGCTGTTAGCTGACCTTACACAGACTATGCCATCTGACAGACTTGACAACTCATCTCTTTTTTTTCACATGTTCAGCCCATTCGGTTGAGTCATTTCAACAATTGCAGTGTGTGTCGTCTGGCACCTGATACCAAAAATCACCTCAATAAGATAAGAGCTACGGATGAGCTTGTCTCCACTGGATCAACACTCTTAGCGAAGAGATCCATAAATAAAAACAACTCTGGATATATTACTCTACATGGAGAGTTACCAATGACTCACTGCACTCCAAGCTTTCTCTTACTCATGCTGCAGTTCAGTAAAGAACCAGCTGCTGTGAATGGACAAATACAGTAACAATGATGCAACACACTAGACCTAATAAAGCCCTTTTTTAAGGACTTCAGTGTGGAGAGTTTACAATAACTGCACAAGCTCATTCTCGTGGACTCTGTTCAGTCATGCAAATTCTGCACAAGCGAACCATAAAACAGTGTGGTCAAGTGGCACAAGGGCACCACTTGTGCTCATGGATTATGCAAAAGCACCATCAATCTGAGTTTAACCAGCCACAGCATATAATATCTGGTATAAAAAGTACCAGGTGAAACCGTGAATGCTTATTTACACTAAAATGCAATTTCTTCCTTACTGTAATAAAAAAATTAAATAACAAAATAAACAAATAAATAATCTGGAACATTAGTAGACAAACCAAACAAGTATATTATTTGACACAAGCTGCCATGCAATACTCCTGAGTAATGTAAGAACATTTTAAAAAGTGGTTTTGTAACAGTAACTTCACATCAAGACAGATTCAGGTGATGAATCATTGTGCTCTTATCAAAAATCCAAACCCGAAGGTAAAATAGCCTCACTTCTGCACCAAGGATTAGAATGAACAGAAAAAGGTGGCATTTGTGCTGCTGATTCAAATGTGCACTTAACCATTCAGCATAACTGATAAAGGCTGCAGTGTGCAAGGCAAATAACCATTACCAATTTGAAAGTGCATACCTTTTTATATTCATTCAAATTTGATCAATTTATCAAAGGGTCTTATGCTGCACTCTAGTGGTGTGAGAATGAACTACAGCTAAATGCTTACACTCAATTTGTAAAATCACTGATATTCCTTGATTGACAACAATGAACCAAAGTCTGAAAGTGCTACAAAACATCTGGGATCTTCCTCAATAGTATAGTGTATGTCAGCTGTTTTCTTTTTCTACAGACAGTTGTGCTTGTCTGTAGATCAGTTTCCTTCTGTAGAGCTGAAGAAGGGCCGGAGTCCGGGGGAGGAGGCGAAGGAGGCACGAGGAGGCTGCATGCAACATCAAGGTGAGGATGGAGGTGGAGAACAGGGTAAGGAGGTGAGAAGGTTAAAAATCCCGAAACCCTTAGAGAAAGCAGAAAGGAGAAGGAGGGAGGGAGCTTCTGAACTAGAGAAGTGGAAAGGCATGGGAAGTAGGAGGGTGAGGGTCCTTGATAAGAGGCAGGCTGGAGGAGGGGCTACGTTCAAGAGGAAACACATCAACAGGGAGTTTGAATTTCAGTCCAGCAGCAAGATGATGAGTTTCAGCCAAAAATGTCATTCCATCATAACAAACCAGTTAAAAAAGAAAAAAAAAACAGCCAAAAAGGAAAAGAAAGTTGCTGGTGTTTGTGTGGTGGTGAGTATTTGTCTTTCCACAGCTGTTTCCTTTGTGAGAACTTCGTTCGTTGCGATCCTCACCTGGCGTAGTCGTCTTTCGTCCAAAGTAGCCCAGGACATGGGAGTAGAGATCCCTGAGTGATGCATCACCCATGGTGGCCCGGGCCTGCCGCTGCGGCGACGAGCCTTGGGATGACCCCTGACCTTGGGGCCGAGGCTTGGACGACAGAGCGTGAACCACAGTCTTATAAACACCGCCAAGAAGAGCCCCCTGGTGGTGCCGTGAGGCAGTGCTCCCTGGCTCCTGGGAGCGGGAGCGGGAGGCTCTAGATCGCAAGGCGGAACGTCCTAAACGTCCGCGCACTCCTGAGGAACCTGAACTGCTTGACAACCCCTCAGAGTGAACCTCTGGGCCATGACTGGATCCCACACAGGATCCAGCATGCTGCTTGTCTTTGTCCCCTCCAGTCCCAGACCGGGTTTCCAGGCCTGCTGTGCCCCCTGTCCCACTGCTATCCGTTATAGTCCCAGATGCTAATTTCTCATGTACGCCTGTTCTATGGCTGATAACAGCCACAGAGCCAAACTTACCTGAACCCCCTGTTCCCAGCTTCCCCCCTGACCCTGCCCCAGCTCCAACCCCAGGCCTCTCTCCAGCCGAGTGGCTGTGTGTGTGGAAGTGACTGAGCCGGCGTAGCCGGGCTTTCCAGTGGGCCTCCTTATTTTCAAGAGGGTTATGGAACTGGACAGATTCAGTTGAGGGCCGGAAACTGACATGGACACCCCCAGAATGATGTCTCTTAGTGCTACTACGGGACATCTTGGTCTTAGTGGGTTCTGAAGTTTGGGGAACTGATTCACTGCTACCTTCACCCACAGTAGTATCTTGCCTAATTAAACTGGACTTGTCATTTGCTGCCATTTCTTTATCATCTTGTTTCTCTTCTGTATCACCCCACAAGTCATATTTCCCTTCCAATACTGTTGCCTTTCCACTATTTCCTCCCACGACCTTCTTTTCAGCAGTAGTTCTTTCTAAACTAGAGCCCACCTTAGCACTGGGTGATGGCCACTGACACTGCAGCTCCAAGCACTCATAGATACTCGGCTGCTCTGCCTCATTCTCCTCGATAGAATCCACACTGCTATGTCTCACTGATTTACTTACCTGTCTGTCCTCCCTTACAACCGGCTTTGCTTCTCCGAGCTGCCCTCTGTTTTCTAACTGTGTTCTTGCCAACCCTGTTTGCACGAGTGCGGGTAAAGCAACGCTGTTTTCTACTGCTCGACCGGGACTATCTTTCTCGCCTGCCTCGCCCTTCCTCTCAGCTTCTTTGTTAATGAGGTAGTCCCTAATAGAAGAGAATAAATCATCTTCCCCAGTTTCACCCTCATCTCCATCAGCTTCCTTTTCAGGTTGAAAGGCGAAGGCTGAGTCCCAGTCACTCACCCAATCGGAACTAGAACCTCGGCTTCGAGAGACACTTTGGTGCCAGAATTGATCGCACACACTACCATCATCTTTTACCTCTGAGGACGAGGAAACAGCACCATTGGAGAAGGCAAAAGGGGTGGGAGAAGAGAAGGTGAGGGACTGTGAGGGTGGCTGAGCTGCGTGGCTGTTGGTTACGAGTAAGGAAGAAGTTGTGGAGTGGTGGTGGTGATGGGGAGAAGGATTTGGGATCAAATTTGGATCCCTCTGGGGATCTTCACCTTTAACCCGCTCTGCGATGAAAGGCTCCATGATGTCAGAGGCACTGCTGCTCCTTGCAAGGGAGGATGGGGCTGGGGTATCCACATCACAAGCCCCACCATGGAAGACCTCAGAACAGGAGATGGGAGGAGTCTCGTCGCTCTGGGATGAGTGGCGCATTCGAGACGTGCGGGATGCCAGTGTGATTGGTGGATCCTCGAGGTCTGGAAGGAAAAGGAGTGGCATTAGCTGGAGCATAAAGGGGAGGAGACACATTAAAAACTGTGCATGCATGCAGGCATGTGCACGTACACACACACGCACACAGATCTGAAAAAATGCATTAGGCAGAAGTTATCTAAAGTCTGGTTCTTTATCAGATTGTACTCACTGACGTTGCTTACAAAAACAAAATGTGTTCATAGCAAACATCCTATGGCTATTTATCAAGCTACTACTGGTGCTAACCATGACCTTTTTTACCTTGTTTTAGTAGAAAAAGAAAAAGAAAAACATTGGATAAATGCCTGAATGCTGACTGTTTGGTTGTTACATCTTCATAAATATTATTATTAAATAAATTTTAAACTGTGAACTATCAACAAATAGACTCCCCGAGTCAAAAGGTCTGGCTTCAGAACAGTTTTTTTCTATGTTTGGCTCAAGATGATTTTAAAGAGAGTAGATAATTCCCTAATATGACTATCTCAGGCACATAGCTCTGCCTGTGAGCACAAAAGCCCAACCTACGTGCTAAGAGATATTGCTTCAGACAGAGGACAAACTTAGGAGAATTTCAGTAAGGCCCAGGATAAGATAAATAAGGATTATTCTGAACTAGCATAGTTTGATGGCATGAATATGAAGCTGGAATTTGATTTTAAGAAGATAAAAAAGATGGACAAGATCAAAATCATTTATGTAAAAATCTCTTTACACTCATATGTTATACTATACACCATTTCGCTTGCAACAATGCAGCAACACAGCTGACTGCTTCCCAGTTTGGCTGTTGTGCACTTGCAAGAGCAAGCTATGTTGTACAACCATCATGTTTAATGTCACAGAAATTCCCCTTAAGTTTCCATTTACAATTATTTCAGTGGGTTTTCTCTCGTGCACAATAACCATCCATTAGTCACCACCACACACAGACACACTAAAAACAACAAAAATGATATGCGAGTCATCATCCTCTCATACTAAAGAGAAAGGAGAGCTGTCCAAGCAAAAGCCACTGCAAGAATAAAGCAAATCATATGAAATTTTACACCAAAAATTGGTGAAAGGAGGATCAAGAAGAAAGGTAGAGAAATAAAGTGACTTATAACAGGCAGAAAAAAATGCAAATACGTAGAGTTAATGGAAAGACCTCGAAGACAAATGTGTGTGCAGGCAGATAAGAGTAAGGTGCAGGTTAATAGGCGGGCAGGCAGGCAGGCAGGCAGGCAAGCAAGATGATAAGCAAGTAACAAAGAAAACAGGTATGTCGAGTTTCATGCAAACAGGTGTACAACAAGAAAAGCAAATCCCACTTACATCTAAAGTCTAAGTGAAATGTTTGCAACACAGACTCAAAATGACATACATCTTTGTTCACTACTGGCTGGTCCAGCATGAATTCGATTTATATAATAAATATGCATATATAAACTAGTTCTAGTTTACATATGCAGGTGTGTTTAAAATAGCATTTTAGCAAGCTGCTGAAGACATACATTGATCAGGCATAACATTATAACACTGACTGATCCAATGGATGAACTGCTATAGCTCAAAGAAACGAAAAATTTAATGCTGGTTCTGATAGAAAGGTGCCAGAATACACAGTGCACCACAGTTTCTTCTATGTGTGGCTACAGAACTGCAGACCAGTCAGGGTGGCCAAGCTGACCCCTGCCCACCACTGAAAGGTGACCTGGCCTGATGACTCCGGTTTCTTTTATATCGCATAGATGGGTGCGCCTGTCTGTTGTTTACCTGGGGAACACCTACTGCCAGGATGCACTATGGGAAGACGGCAAGCCAGCAGTGGCATGTAATGTTTTGGGCGATTTTCTGCTGGGAAACTCTGGGGCCTGCCATCCATGTGGATTTTACTTGGATACATACTATCTACCTAAGCACTGTTGCAGACCATGCACACTTTTTTGTGGAAACAGTACTCCCTGATGGCTGTGGTCTCTTTCACAAAGCAAAAATGTTTCAGGAATGGTTTGAGGAGCACAACAATACGGAGTGCGTGCCCCTACAGGTAAGAGTTGACAGCAAAAGGTGAACCAACACAATATTAGGCAGGCAATCAATGTTACGCCTGATCTGTATATATTGAGGTGATTATTTAACACAACCTACAAATACAATCACAGTTGAGTGATTCCAACACACATACTTGATCATCTGGGTGACTGCCTGATGTACTAACACCTGGCAAAGCATATCAGCCCTTTAGTGTTTTGTTTTCGAGTTTTTTTCTATCTGAGAAACAAGGCTATGTACTTGTTGCTCATACTTTAATGTTCAGTTTCTGCCCTACTCCCCTCAAGTCTTCTCTCAGTTGGCTCCCTGGATAGGTTACTGCTGTGGTACTCCTCAATATCAATCAGCTGCACTGGCTGTCCTTCTGCTGTCTGCTTTGTGAGCTGTCACTAACCTCTGTAACCACAAACTTCAGCAGGTGGATGAAGGATTCTCACCATCTGCAGAGCAGAACCAGAACTAGCACTACCACTGCCAAGTGCAGCCCAAGACATCAGAAAAGGAGAGTCACTAGAGAGGTAGCTCATGTTACGCCACCTATAATCTGTCAGCTGATTAGCTGAAAGACCCAATCAGCTCCTTTTTTACTCTTTACAGAAAAAGAAAGTTCTTAATTTAACTTAACTTAAATCTTCCTTTAAAGATGTAAAGAAACCTCTGCATACCTCCTTGAAAACATTAACTCTGATTAAAAAAAAAAAGACCTTTAAGCACCTCTGTTCTTCCAGTGGAAGATCTTGCATATAAATATTTTGTATTTTTTTTAATTGTTGTATATGATAGTATATGATTTGGGAATATCTTTGGTTTTACAAAAATATGCTCCTTTTGCATCTTGCAAATAATCATTTTAGGCCATCTTTTGACATTTTACTGAACAAAGACCGTATTTGAGGAACAATTTGCTTGTTAAATGATGAAAAGAATTCAGAGATCTACACTTGCAACATGCAAATTTTGCGCACTGCTGATCAACAGCTTTTAAGATTAGCCAAGTTGCAGTTGAACTGGGAATGGGGTCAATGATTGCTGATGGAGCAGATGAAAACTGCTGCTCCAGTGATAACAAACAAACAAGAAAAGAGAAATATTCAGAGACAAGACAACAGGCAGAGTTTCAGTCTGTGTAGACGACTAATCCAGGCAGGCAGGCAGCAGGCAGGCAGACAGGTAGTGCAAAGAGTGTGTACCTGCCAGCTGGTCGGCAAGGGGGGGTAGTAAAGGGTGGTGGTGGTGGTGGTGGAGGAGGACAGGAAGAGGCGGAGCCAGAGCAGGAGCACTCTTAGCACTGCGGATAAAGGCTGAGGACAGCAGAGAATCCCCCGTAGAACAGCTACGCAGGGCTGAGGAAGTGGGAAGAAGAGAAACAGAAGAGAGGAAGAGTGTGGGACAGAAAAGGGAAAAATACAAAAAAGAGGAAAAAAGTATAGATAAAGGTTAAGAAGTGAGTGAGGAAGGAGAAGTGGAAGAAAGTACATAAAAAATGAAGATAATAGAAAGAGAGAGCAAGTGAATACGTTTAGTAAATAAGACAAAAGCATAGAAACACAGCTTGGAGATAAGGACAGGAAATTAGTGGAACGAGAGGCAAGTGACAGGATGCTATTGAAGAGGTGGGTTCCATGATGGGCATGGAGGGACAGAGACGGGAAGGGAAGGTGAGGGAGGGGTGAGACAGGGTTAGTTTTGCAGGAAAGTTGGTGAGTGAGAGAGTGAGAGAGCTGGTGGGAGTTCTGCAGCTCAAGTCTCCTCATAAGCCCAGAACAAACAGGAACGCTACATAAAATTAAATAAAAATGGGAATCATCATGTTGACATTCAAGAAAATATCCTAAACTAATCCGGTTGTAGGGACCCTTCTGGAACCAAACCTTCAATCCCTGCAGAGTGTGGAGGAACGTGCTTTGTTGTGGTTAGTTTCAATCTACTCTGGCATTCACAGTAATACAATTGTTTTCTGCAACATGTCACCACAACTGGAGCAGAACTGTCTTTATCGTAATGCATAACAGTGAGATTATGCAAACCGGCTGGCTGCGTGTATTCACGTTTGAAACATCTGTGGTAATATAGCTTAAAAAAGGAGGAAACAGCATTATATATGGAGTTCAAGGTTAATAAAATTCTCTACCAAAAGAGTCAAATATTTTATCAAATATTTAATAGTACTACTCAAATTTTTGGCATCACAGTTACAATTTTTAATTGGGGTATTTAGAGCTGAAAATCAATCCCCAACAAGTCCCAACTTGATTTTCGGATTTGTTTTATTCATCATCTCAGCTGATACTAAACCTATTCAAGCATTGCTGCAACTACATCTTTCATACTAATGGCCACAGCTAAAGATTTTCCATAAACATGACTCCAGAGAGGAATGGTAGTGAGCATATGCCACAGCTTCCTGTCAGACTGACAGATGGGCAGGAGGAGGGAAGCAGAGGAGAGACATTAAATCAAACAAAACTGACTTGAGAAGAGCGTGACGGTATCCAAAATCTACTGAGGAAAGACAGCATGCTAGTTATTTCTCCAAAGTATGCATAGACAAATTCTGGGAGTCAGTGTTATGAACATTTACATTCAAAGGGAGCAGAGTTGTAGGAAGAGGGCATACTGACCTACAGTCTTCTGCCGGACAATACTGCGGGCTTTTTCGATGCCTGGTGACCCAGCGGTGGTGGCGCTTCGCTGTCTCATGGCGGCTGCCTGGCCTGGTTGGTCTCTGCTCCAGCCTTTAGAGAAGGAACGATCGACAACCTGCCGCTGGCTCTCCGGACCAATACCTGTTGTAAGAACATTGAATTACTTCTCGGTGAACTGAGCTGAAAACATGTGTGCTATTTACATCTAGAAATCTGCTAAATTTACAAATTACTAGTAGTTTTTCTGTGACCTCAGTTTTTTGCAGTCAAAAAATAATACATGAACAGACTAATTCATATTCCAGAGCTGCATTTGGTTCCAGCAGTGCGATGTGACAATCAGCCGGCTGTGTTCCAGATATGCTCTTAGGAAGTCACATGTCTTTTGAAGGTCGGTAAAAGTGACTCACCTTTTCCTTTATGTTTCTTCTGTTTTTGTTCACTGAGCTTGTCGAGAGGCAGCTCATTCAGATCGACACTGTACAGGTTCCTTGCCAAAACCTAAGACACAGAGACATAACAAAGCTTTAACCTTTTACCACACTGTTTTAGGTGGTAACAGTTGGAGGACTTGGATAAGTGTTGAACTGAATTTATCTAGTTATATTAATAGCAGAGCGGAGGTATATGTGGTCCCTGTTCAGTACCTTTGTAAGCGTCTCCATGGTCAGTGACCATTCAGTGACCAGCTCCTCCCAGCAGGTTAGGGAGGAGAGGACAGAGAGGAGGTCATCCCACAGCTCTCTGCTTATGTAGACGTTTAAGTTGCCCTTAATCCAGGCTACTATCAGTGTCTGTACAGAAAGAGAGGGATGAAGTAAAATAAGTCATGCTGGCAACCCGAGAGTGTGGTAACATATTAAAACACATGATTATATAATATTGAAATATAGAAGTCTTTTAGATGATGACATTATTATAACGTACCTGAAAGATGGGTCCAGCTAACCTGCCCGACAATGTGTTGTTCTTCTTGCCCTGAGGCATGATGGATGGAGGCCTTTTCATTACCGACTCTGTCACCCTCAGCAAAACCAGCAAGATCTGCTCCCTACAAATTCAGGAACACTGGTTAAAGCTAAACGGTTCTTCTTCTTTAATCAGAAACAGCAGGTAGTTGAGAGGACACAAATGTAATTAGATGGCATTTTACGCTGCTGTTTGTGTTTTTACCATGTCTTCTGGTCCATGGTTTCATGCATGACAAGGCTGCGGTAGATGTTCAGGACTCGCTTGCACATATCGACATGCTCCTCCAAAAGGATCTTAATGTCGTTGGCTGGTTCCAGCAGGAAAACGTTAGAGGAGTGGGTGATAAACACCTGTAGAGGAGACCGAGACGGAAGAAAGGCAATCAAAACCACAGGAAATATTTAAGAAATAACACCAAGATTGTGGAAGTTTGGCAGTTTTTGTGTGTGAGAACATACCTGTAGTGTAGTTTGAACTCCAGCATGAACACTGTATTCCAACAATTCACTGTCAATCACTTTATTCATTCCCTTAAAAAAAGAAAGTACAAAAATAAACACTTCTATTTACCTCAAGCTGGTCTTGATTACTGAAACTTGTTTACCTTTACCTGAGTATTTCTGCTAATTACATGACTGATTTCACAAAATTTCTCACCTCATCATCTTTGTCTCCGAATTGCGAGCCTGTATCCATACTTGTGGCCGTGACTATAGGATAAGGACCCTCCTCTGGCTCCTTCATGAAAACTGGTTTGTCTTCCATGGAGATCCACTCCTGGTAAACTCGGACCACCTTTCGCATTGCCGCTGCCTCGCACATGGGAAGAAGAAACGCCTGCAGCAACCGGGAATATGAACATGTCAAGAAAGAGACAAGGAAACTGTTCTCACTTTATGATAAATAACCATTTTTCCTTAACCTGTCGAAAGATCTCTGTGATGAAGTTGACGTTGGTTCTGGAGCTGGTCAGCACTCTTCTCACCACCTCCATGTCTGTCAGCTGCTCTTCGTCCATGGAGCAGAGTGAGGAGGAGCTGGGCTCTCTCTCTGTCAGTGTAGATGTGTTCGAGTGGCTCTGTTCAGGTTCAGTCCCTGCACCTCCGGAGAGCCCCATGCTTCCTCCTCCTGGCCCGCTTGAGCTTCCGCTTGCTTCAAGGTGGCTGTCAGATCGAATCCCTCCCCCACCGCTGTCCTCTGAGCTGCCTGTGGAGCGAGCTGCAAATCCAGCTGCTGCTCGCTGAAGGTAAGCAGAGACAGGGTCAGAGGTATTTTAAAATCTTTCGCATTTGCTTCTGCAAATTGAGCAGTAAAAACACAAGAACCAAGTGATACATAATAATGTGCTCATACTTACCTGTATGTTCTTGGGGACATTCTCTCCCTCTGTTCCTGGGATGTGGGTATGTGTGTTGGGTCGTGGCTCGAGCCAGAAGGAAACCAGCCAGCGGATAAAGACAACTCGAGCCTGAAGGAAACTTTCCTTAGTGCAATACAGCGTTTCGCCGCTGTCCTGCTCTCTGCGCACAACACTGTAGTACGGCTTAGAACGCATAGGAGGCACATCTATGGATGACGGAGAGAGGAATATATATTTAAGGGGCACAGAATTAATTATGAGGTACAATCACCGAGTTTTGAGTCTGTTCTTGTTGTGCACAAAGTGAACACAACACGGTCATGTTGCATAGCTAATAAAAGCAGCACAGTGTGGAACAAACACCAGTCTTCTCAGAAAAGGACAGTGGTTACAACACAGCATCCTTCAAAGTGAGACTGTCAAAGCAGAGTTCTACTGTAACGTCCAGCAATGTTTGTAAGTTTTAGTAGGTAGAGAAGATCCTTAATTAACTGGAGGCCTGGCAGTCCATGCCGAATGTCCATTGGTGTAATGTGTGTGTGAATTGGTGAATGCAGCTAGTACCATAAAAGTGCTTTAAGTGTTTAGAAAGACCAAAACATGAGTTCATTTATCATTACTCCACTCCAGATTTGGCTCCCTCTTGCTTAAATTGAAGGGTCATTGTTTTCCCCAGTACACATCACAAATAAATGAATAAATAAATGTTCCTTTGGTTAAATAAGCTTATTTAGTAGATCTAAATTAGAATAGAATAGAATAGAATAGAATAGAATAATCCTTTAATTGTCCCACAAGGGGAAATTTGGTTGTAACAGCAGCCAAAAAGACAGATATACAAACAAACAGTACACAGGACACAGAACAGAAACATACACAATTTTTCTTACATATTTACATTAAGGACAATGGTTACTATAAACAGAGTACTGTACAGTTATTAAATTAAATAAAAATAACTACAGGTAAGAGGCAAACCAGGTTGTAGTGCGAATCGGTTAATTAACTTATTGCAGTTACAGCATTGATGTAAACATCTATGTTTGTTGGGAGCAGTTCTGATTGTACAGTCTAACAGCTGCAGGGAGGAAGGACCTGCGGAAACGCTCCTTCGTGCATCTAGGATAAATTACTTAGTAGTACTAACCCAGCATGGGGCTGTAGAGGCTGGTTTCCATGGAGAAGTTGGGAAAGATGTGAGGAAGGTAAAACTTCCTGAAATGACCAAAGAGGAAACTGAAGCCACGTTCATGGTTCTCTTTACACCGCCACTCTAGAGACTTTGCCTGTTTGATAGAAACATAAACACACAGTTAGACAGACAGACAACCAAGCCTGTGTCGCACGGAGAGCAGAATAGGGTCAAGCAGAGAAGAGCACCATTGTTTTGGGGAAAAATGTTATCAGTGTGTGATGGCAGCAAGCAGAGGAAATACAAGCGCCAAGTTACTGTGTGGCAACAGGGGATGCAATTTGTATTTTAGGGGTTAATGATTCCAGTAAGGAATTAGATCAATACTTAATTCACAGTCAGATGTGGCCACAACCAAATCAGTGAGTGATGCACCCAAAACCCGGTTTCTCCCATGCTTTTAGCGTGAGTTGCATTAGTAAGGCACTGCAACATGTGTAGTTATGCTGTGTTAACTGTGTTAGTAAAGAATCAAGATAATACCTGGTTTACCATGTATTTCAGTAGAGCTTCTAGGAAGTAGGCAGTGAGATCTTCCTGGTTCTTATCACCTGACTGGGGAGGAACAAGTGGAGTGATCTCTTCTGGAATCACCTGAGCTGCAGAGAGGAAAAGAACAGAGTATGGTATGACATTAAAGGCTGCAAAATATCTTTAATATATTAGAGGTGCAAAAAAAAAAAAGAAGTAATTATCTATGAGTCTAATGCACTGTGTTTGAGAGTGTGTGTTGATAAGACTAACTCTCTGTCAAACTGAGTGGTGGGTTGATTAGAGTATCCAGGGTCCGTGGGGTCCCGTGGCAGAGCGGAGCCGGGAATCCAGGAATCAAACAGGCAAACATGCAGAGCTGCTCACGTTCTGCATTACTCTGTAAGGCCTGCATCCATAACAGGAACAAGCGCACACCTTCACGGCGGATCTACAATAACAAAAACAAACAAAAAAAAGAGAGAGGACGGGGGGATGCTTAGCAAAGTATGGCAATACAATTAACTTGGAATTACTCATTTAGTTTATTAATCCATTTAGCATTTAAAAATTGTGCATTTAATGATAGCCAGCCTGACTATTTACTTCTCTGGCATTTATATTATACATTGGAATATTTACAGTATAGGAAATAACATAGTAGTATAGTATTAAAAACATTTAATATAATATAGCAAAATTATCAAGGTTTCTACAAAAAAAGGACACTGAATCCACATCAACACAGTGAAAGAAAGCAAAGCTAGCTAATGGTGATAAGACGGTATATTTCATTTATCCGCAAAGTTACAAAAGCCAAAAGCAAAGCTACAGCAAAATAGTTTAAGTTAAAAAAAGGAACTCAAGTAAGTAAAACATGACACAAATAAGTAAAAAGTTAAATGAATGAATAAATAAATAAATAAATAATCTTTGGGAACAAAAATCCAAATAAAATAAACACAACATTATGGAAAAGTGTGAAAAAAACAAAATATTCTAGAGTCAAATGTGAGGCCACCAGTCTGACAGCTAAGGCCTTTTAAAGTCCAGCTCTCAACGCAACTGACATGCTGTGGTGGGACCTTAAGAGAGCTGTGCATAAATGAATGCCCAGCAAAACTCAATGAACTGAGGCAACGTTGCAAAAAAGATTCTAGGTCCATAGGACTCTATCCAGTCCTGTGGACTCTGGATCAAGAGCCATGACTGACAGGTAAAGCAGTTTCACTGAATCACTGAGCAGTACCTTCAGAGAGTTCCCAGTGTGCAGCAGCTTCTTCAGAATCAGCCCTGAAAGAGAAAGGCATGTCAGCTTCATCACCTGCAGTGCACAGCTACTCTTACCTCTCTTTGAACTCAAGAAGTTGCCAGAGGCACTAAGATGCTTTGAGAGGCTGTTTGAGATTCAACATTACATATGGAGTAACCGTGTGAGTGGCCACAGTGTAAAATACTGGTTAAAAGTGAGTTACCAATGCTGTGGAACTGCCATCGGCTCTGGATTCTCTCAGGTAGGAGCTGAAGTATTTTCTAAATAAATGAAAAAGAGATTCATGTTAAGAGTGAGTCTTGCTATATTATTGATATTGCTCATTCACTGATGAATTCACCGGTTGGCTGGTTGATTTCTCACTGGATTCATGCAATGGAATAATGGAAAAATTGTTGCTATGTTTTCATTACATAGTTGCACTCTTATGGTATTATTTAAAGTTAATATCACAATGTAACTAATCAATCAACTGTTTATTGTCTGGCCAAAGTTCTTCAAGAAAATCAGCATTAAGCATTTTCCTTTATCTTAATTCTCACTGGAAATGTGCTCTGCCCAGCCCTGCTCTGAATTGAAAATATGTTGAGGGGCAAACGGAGGTCAGTAACACACACACACATACAGACACACACAGCTATCTTATCCTGGCTATGCTAAGCACCACCACATGCCAGTGTCTTTTATTCAGTGGAATGATAGCCAGTGTTATGGCATCCATCGAGAACACCAACAGAGAGGCCGAGCCTTTGGAAGCACAAACATCTCTGTGGTTTAACAAAATGTCAGGGATCCACCGTGCAGCCACACTCTGTCCTGTTATTTATTTCAGGACAGTGTGTGGACAGAGGACCTCAACCCCGACATTTTGAAGTCGGCTTCGTAGGACTGAATGTTGTAGAAAAAATATCCCAGATATAACAGTTAGCTTTATGATTCTGGCAACGACGTGCAAGTGCAAATGTGACATATCCTCAATGGAATCAAACTGTACAATACTTATAATCTAAAGATCTGTAAGGTTTCAAATACCTCAAAGATGAAGAGGATCGAGTCCAGCTCTTCCCTCTGAGATTTATGACCTGAAAAACAAAGAATCATTTATTTATGCCTACAATACCCTAACCCGTTAAACCACCTTTTTATACCACCTGTAATACTTACCTTTTTGCTTGAGGCTGACCTCAATGGTGACAAAATTCTCAAAGAAAACATAGTAGATATGAGAATAGTTCAGGTCGAAGAATTGCTTCAGCTCGGCCGGCTCCGCATTTTCTAAAAAATAAACGGTACAAAGGATCAGAGGGTCAACGAACATACACATTCAGGAGTATAGGAAAAAATTTAAACGCAATAAAGTCCCCTACATCTGCTTCAGCGTTTACATCCATTAACATGAATGTAACTTTACATTTTCTTAAACACATTTAATCTCTCATCCAAGAGGCTTCTTCATTCTTCTTTTTTGTAGAACTGAAGAAGCCTGAAACATCTTCAACAAATTTTTAAAAATCCAGTCGCTTTCTTCCAAGCTCCTTAGACTAACATGACTTGGATGACAGAGAACCTACAGACATTAACCAAACATCACACACTCACAAGACCTGGATATTCCTCTTAACAATCCCACCTCTGTACAAACAAAACATCACATGTGCATCTTCAACTCGACCCCTCTAGTTTAAGAAATCAGAGATTTTCTTTTTACTTTGACTCTGTGAATAACCAATAACTGGGGAATAACAAGTCTTATAGGACACTGGCTTCAAGTATCTGATTTTAAAACAGATATTAAATATTATTAAATAGTCAGAAATATAAAATGCTTCACAACTATCTTTTTGTCACAACTCACACTCATACGTGCCTGTCAAACTAAGACATCCTGTATTCCTCAGAGACAAACTGGGGTTGGAGCTTTTCTTGTTTATCTCCCAAATCTCTGGAATAGTTGACCTAAAATGTCACCAAAGGAAACTCTACTGATTACCAGAAACCCATAAAGAGACACTTTTTTTTTTTTAAATTGTCTGTTTAACTTGTGTTGTTGGTTTATGATGGTAACAGGAAATGGTGCTTTTTATAGTACCGCTGCAGAGGGGTACTAACCAGCAGGTTCAGCCACATTAGTGATCAAACACACCACAGATACAGAGAACATTTGTGTTATCAATATCAGCCTGTATGTGCACTGAATCACTTCTGTGTGATTTCGTTTTAAATTAGCTTTCCTATGCTTATTTCTTTTGTCTATTGTACACCCCTGTAAAGCCTCTTAAACCTTTACACATGAAATACAAACACAAATCGACTCAACTACAAGTCAAAATTCATGCTTAAATGGAGAAAACACAGTGGTGAGAGGACAATTCTCACTCTTCTTCACAGGAAGCATATTTAAATAAAATAACCCTACCACCATATATGGGTGCTCTAAATATACCCGTGTTATGTAAAGAAGCTGTAAAAACAACACGCAGCTCAGTTTGTCATGCAAACAGTCTCTTTTCAAGGATAAGGAAGTTTACTTGATGTGTTTTGCACCTCACCATTAATGGCAGCAGTTGAAAGAGAGACACACACACAAACACACTGGTTTAAACACACTCATATTGAAACACAACCACCACTGTGGCTGAAGGTCATGCACAAACACGAATCTGGTCCCCATGGCCTAAAAAGCAAAACCGAAACACACCACAAGTTTTAAAAAGGCTGTGGTGTGATTCTGAATCTCTTAGCAAATGATGCAGAGTTTTTTCAGCTATTTCGTCTGATTCAAACAGCAGGGATATATTTTCACTATGGATAACACACGATAAAACTTCTACCCTCTGTGCCCCATAATTTAACACCAGATGACCCACTGAGGATCCTGCAAAGAAGTGACCTTCTCAGAAGTTGTTCATTAAGCTCAATAACACAGTTGTAAGACGCACAGCATCATTATGGTGAATTCACTTATTCTTGAAACAGACAACATGTTCATAAGTAATATTTTTTCTTAATTCAGTGGTGCAGGTCTACAGTGCAATACTGTTAAAGCTCGAGTTTGCTAAACAAGCAAAAACAGAACTGAAAAAATTACTTGAGTTAACTCATAACAGGCCTTCATTTGTTAGTGGACAGAACAGAAGTTTAAGCATTTTGCTGATATTTTTAGCTGTTTTACAAACAAAAATGAATTTTATGCTTGAGTAAAACAGTTTTAAATCAGTCCTTGTGATTTTGCTTCAGTGGAAGGCCAACACCTTTTTGGTTGTCCCAGAAATTTCCATATACAGGACAAACCCACTTTTGGCTGCTTCCTTATTCAAGGCAGTCGCCACAGTGGGTGGGGCGGCTTGTTTGATTTGGCAGATTTTTACCCCTGACACCCTTCCTGATGAAACTCCAAATTAGTGTCTCCAAAATCTGTATCTGGAAATACAAACCCTTATATTCATGAATGTAACGACATATTTATACAATATTCTCTTTAATCATTTATGCAGGCATGTATGGCTTGAGGAATTGTTTTTTTAATTAAGAATTTTCCAATTAAATGGCATATTAAAACAAATAAACAAAATCAGCTTTTAGGAACCATTCTACTTCCTTAAAAACATTTGTATAACAAAAATGCTTCTGTTAAGTAATGCCATACAGACTCATTACCTTAAGTAAAGGTAAATAACATTAACTGTGATTTTCATGTAGTGTTTCCAAAGCCTGCTTACAGATTCTTACTACAGACTGTAAAGTGGCTGTACTAGTTGAGGACATCAGTTAATGTGTGATGGAGCACCAATGCAGTGCAGCTTCAAGTTAATATTTTTCCCAGTCTGTCTAAACTTTAATTCTCCTCGCTGCTTGTTAAGTTATCGTTCATGCATTACTCCTAGTTGGATAGTCAACGCATTGTTGGAATGTTTGCAGAATCTTAATGAGCTTGAAAGTCAACATTGGCACGACCACCTTTATTCTTAAACACAGTCTGAACGCTCTGAGGCAGCTTTCTTGTAACTTCTTTAAGTAGCCTTTAGGAATAGTTCTGCAGACTTCTTGACAGACGTTCAAAGCTCTTCTTCGGATGTTGGCTACCTTTAGATGATCCCACAGTGGTTCAATAATGTTGAGGTCCAGGCTTTTGGGAGGCCAATCCATGACTGATAACGTTTATTTGTGTGTTTTTCTATCCAGGTATGATTTCCTGCTGTTGCCAATCCAATGGTGGATCTGATGGCACCTTTCTGTGTTTATTATTTATCAACATGACACAGCCTCCATTGTGTTTTCCAGATGGCTACAGAAGCTCATTGTTGTACATCTTTCCTGACCTCCTGAATACTTAATGACAATGACTTGAAGCAAAAATAAAAAATTTGGATTCATCACACCATCAGACCTGTTGCAGCTGATTTTCAGTTGATTTTCAGTTGGCTTCTTAACACCCACCCTTCCACTGAGCTGACTTCTAATCAGGCTTTTGGACACAGCAGATGAACTTATCCAAACACCTATTACAAGTCTGTAAAATTGTGTTATCTTTGGCATTTTTATAGCTTTGACTTGAGAAATGTGAAGAAATGATGTGTTTTTGTTACAAATACAATTTAAAATTGGTTCTTTGCTATTTTTTTCTGTTTTGTGTAGACACAAAGTTCATCCCTTGAGTTAAGTACCCTTTGTAATGCTTGAAGGTTTGCAGGTCAGTTTTAAGTGACATTAACCATAATATGAAAATGACCAGGAACAAAGACTGGACTGAAAATGGGTGAAAAGGCAGCCAATTTTAAAAAACAAAAGAAAACAAAACAAAAAAAACCACTTTGAAACTTTGAAAGACCTTTAGAAAACCTGCAAAACTTTACCTCAGGACCAAATTTAGAAAAAAAAAATACAAAAAAGCAAAATATAAAGAAAGGGGCAGTGGCTCGGGATGTTTGCACAGTACGCTGCAAGTTAAATCTGATTTTGTCCATTTAACTACATTTTGTGAAAAATCAAACTTTCAACATCATCTGGACATCCTTTTTGGACTTTTAAACAGAGAAAAGTTTTTATCGATTTGAATAAAATGAAACAAACAAAACTTTCTTCATCAAGACACGAGTAAAAAATAACAAATACATAAAAAAAAAAAATCACTCATGACTCACTCTGAGGATAATCTGGAATAATCTGAACACTGTTTCTTGCCTTGTATGAGAAAGTCTGACTGGACCACTACTTAACTCACAGTAAACATCTGTTCATCTGTAGTTAAGTTATTAGAATAGTAGAACAACTGGTTTTAACTGAGGAGTTTATCACCAGGTTTCTTTTTTAAATAAAGCTCGTTTATGTAAAGGGAAGGGGGTCTGGGATGAAGAAAGCCAAAAGGGATTTGGGAACAGTTGCTTATTAACCTGATTGCATAGCAGTGCAACAGCTCCTTTTACTCATTATGCCATAATAGGTGTGACCAGTTTTGAAAACCTAAAAATTGCTCAAGAGTCTTAGTGCTCCTGTCTGCTTCCCACAATGGCTGGAACAACATGAACAAATACTTAACTGCTGCAGTAAACAATTCTTCAGTGTTGTGCAAATAAAAACCACTTTCTTCATTTCATATGGCAACTTAGACTGCAAAACATGTCTTTAGCCATTATTCAGTCATCTGCTTCCTTTCAGACCATTTCACTTCAAGTGTGTTTGTGTCTCAGCCTCTTATCATGGTCCTGTGTTCCCAATAGAGAACAGGGAGGGGGCACACCCCTTTCCTTTTCTGTCTTGCTCACACATACACAAACACAGACACCAGACACCACAACTTTTACAATAGAAACAGGAAGCCGAGCTACTGTACTGGACACAGAGAGGAAATAGTAGAGGCTATTTCCCTCTCTGGTCGGTGTGGGAGTGTGTCAGTGAAAGACACTCATCCATCACTTTAATACCCTGCTATCTTCCTTTATTCTCCCACACATTCATAACCCTGAATGTGGTGTTGTGTTGCAATACATCTTAACACATGTTAAGAAAACATTCAGCATTTCTCACACATCAGGCCTTTTCCCAAAACTCACACAGGCACGCCCCTGCAGCAACCAGAGAAGCCTGGCAAACGGCCTGAAGCATCACTGAGGTTGTTTAGATGTTCAACGCGCATCACACCTGATTTTATTTTATCCAAACACCCCATGCCAAACTCCATTCATAAATCTGACGCTGCAATGGTATTGCTAAACAATCAATATAAATAACAGCCTTAAAGCTTCCCCTTTAACTCGACAGAAGAAGCAGCCAGGCTCCTTTAAAATTCACTTCGTATATTGAGAGTTACATATCCATCATTCTGACGGTAAAAGGGGGAGAAACTATGACTTCAGAGATAAACAATTCAGAAAAAATAATATAACCTTACAAAATGTTTGATGAAAGACAACGGACATGATGCCGAATTAATGAGACAATTTCACAATATTCTTCTGTATTCTGGTTTGTGAAAAGAAATCCGGCGTGTCTCTCTACAATCGAGTCAAGTTTGAACTTGGAGATTTTCTGACTTGAGTTTGGTGTGGCATGCACCAAGGCAGTAAACTGAAATCTAGAAGCTAAGCTGTTCGCCCTTTAATAATGCTTTCAAACTCACCTATGACTATTCTGAGATGCTTGAGCCTCGTCAGCACGTCCTTCTTTGGGTCCAGCACTTTCTGTGTGGATTTTTTAACGTCCCCATGAGGTTTTTTGGAAAACATTCCTGAGGCAGGAGACGCAAGAATGCGATGGTAGACAGCAAGGAGGAGCTAGCCTGTGTAGCCAGCTAATCTTCAAACTATAACGAAAAGCGTGTCTCCCGGAGCATTAGCAGCCCTCCGCAACAGCGTGGAGTATTTCTACGGGTAAAAAAATATCAGAGAAACTCATTCTCTTTAAACTAAGACAAATATGTACAGCGTAGCGGGGCAACGCATCCATCCATTGCACCTCCCTTCTCCACAACAGTCACTAGCTGCTTAGTTAGAAAACATCATGGCGGAGGAGGGGAGGAGGGAAAACAAAATAATAGATAGCAGATAAATTCAACGCAAAAATGCCACAGTAATAAGCAAAATTTCTATCCCGTTTGTCATAAATATCACACAGATCTTACATACTTTGGACATACATGGATTTTTAATCTTTTAATGTTTTAAATGTGCAGGATCCTGTTCGAACTCTCCGCCTCAAGCTAGAGCGGTGAAACATGGGTAATGTAGTTTAAGCTTCCACAATGGTCCTCTATTCATTCGACTATTCTAGATAAAGAAAACTACAATTCCCAAAACAAATAAAGGCGTCCAGCGGAGATTTGTTTTTAGCTTAGCTGGAGCACACGAGTGTAATCGTAACTGAGGTATAACGATAAGTTTTTACTTTTTTTCTCTCCGAAAACATTTTTCCCCAACACATCCTGCAAAGTACCACCTATCTTGTAAGACGTGAGTCAGTTAAAGCTTGCTTGTTTGTATATATTTGTAATTAATCCGTGATAGTTTTTCTTGCTACTTAACTATATTCTCTTGCTAACGTGCTAACGGAATGCTAATACTGCTGTCGTGTATTGTTTGTTTTGAATAATTTAATAATTTCAAAAGCTAAGCTAGGGAGCACTTAGCGAATAAACTAGCATAAGCAATAAAATCATGTGTACGATTATTGTATATAATATTCAAACACCTTGAGGATACTTTTCAAGTTCCACCATTAAAAACAGTTAACTGAAGAAAAATGTGTATGAGAAGTCGTTCACTACGAACAGTATAAACGAATATCCCACATTATTAGCTTCTTTAGTTAAGCTGAATATTACACAGGTAAATGTGAGTCAAAAAAAATCACCTGGTTGATCAACGATCGCTGGATATATGAAGGACGTAATCAAACTAAAAACCCAGAAATAATTCTAAGTTAAGAAGTTATATAATTTTATCAGCAGGAAAAAACACAGTTGATGTTCTTTAGCAATACATTTGTTAGTAATATTTAATTAATTCAGGATGAGCGCATCAATCAGAGCAGCAACGGAACTATTAACGTTTTAATCAACCTACTAGTTGTGGCATGCTGATTTGTAATTTCCCTTAGTGTTTTAAATAATCTAGAGAAAACATATGGTAGGATGTGAAGAAAGGAACTGCGGTACTTCATGAGGAAGTCACAGGTGGCAGAGAAGTGTGTGGTCATGGTGAGGGAGGTGTAACAGTGAAACAGCAAGGAGGAGAGGTAGGGAGGGGACATGAGTTTAAATACCGGGGTCAACCATCCAGAGCAATGAACAGTGTACAAAAGAGGTGAAGAAGAGAGTGACTACCATCAGTAAAATATAGGAGTTCTGCTGCCTAACAAATAATTGAATATTATATGTGCAACTGCCAAAACAATCTGGCTATGTTTCTGTCCCACACCAGTAACCTGACGCAGAGTTTCCGCCATGCCATTGCACCGTGACCGGGAGAAAAAGGAGAGTACAGCTGAGGAGATGGAGGCGGAGGAACATGAGCAGGAGGCATCAAGCTCAGAGGAGGAGGACTCTGACACTTCCTCTGTCTCTGAGGATGGAGACAGCTCAGGTGAGAAACAGTGGCCGCAGGAAATGAGCAGAACATTCCTGTACAGCTGTCATTAAAAATGAATACTTGAGTGAATCTATCAGATTTTACAAAGTTGTCAAAGCTTCAACTGAATATTATTATATTCCTACTCAGCAGAGTTTGCTTACATAGCCACCGAGTTGCTCCCTTCTTCCATCAAAGACTAGTTTCATACCAAAGGTGTGTTTGTTTTATGCTGTTCTAGAAATGGATGAGGAGGACTGTGAGCGGAGAAGGATGGAGTGTCTGGATGAAATGTGCAACTTGGAGAAGCAATTCACTGATCTCAAAGACCAGTAAGACTGACTCTTTGCTTCAAATGGGAGTTGTTTTAGGAAAGTCATATAACAGTGAGTTGCATCCATATTTACTCCTGCGTCTGTGTACAGGTTGTATCGTGAGCGTCTCAGTCAGGTTAACAGCAAGCTGGCAGAGGTGGAGGCTGGCCGGGCGGCAGAGTATCTGGAGCCTCTGGCAGTACTGCTGGAGAACATGCAGGTCCGCACCAAGGTGGCAGGTAACTTAAACACATAGACACCTTCACATCACGCTCGCATTCATTGTTTATGTAGCCAGCTGTGCAATGCCTTCTGGTAGAGTTGCAGTTTGTGCAGCAAGGTGTTGAGTTGCCTGCTTTGCATTTGCAGAAAGTTGACATGTAACCTAGTAACATGAATTAAAAGTGACATGTTTGCAGAAACACATTTTGTGTGCCTTTTTTTTTTTGTAATTACATAAAAAGTGTGTAAGCCAACGTGTTGTTTTCAATTTAAAATCCAGGAGTAAACAGTATTTATTTAATCAAACATGGTCAATGACTGTATGGCTGTAGGTGGCTGTAGGAAACACTGTCTAAAGTACACATAGGCAAAATACATCTAGCGGATAATGCACGTCCATCCTGCAACAAATTAGTAACAAGCAGCATTCTACTAAGGAAGACTGCTGTTGGTTTGTTTAATCAATAACCTGTGCATTGGTGCATATCAGACTGCTGGCAAGATGTAGCCTAATTTAAATATACATAGCATCCATTCAGAATTTTCTTTTATATCAACTATTAACTATGTAAAGATTTATATTAGCCAGTTTTTGCATGCTATCTAAGTCAGTGTATGGAAATGTGGAGCAATCCTCATGTGCAAAATCCCCACTGTGGATATGTGTCCACTGGGGTTTCTCCACATCGTGTGAATTTGAATTTTGCTGTTTGCATCTGGCCTCAGCACTGAAGTGGTGTTTTAGGACCTCTTAAACAGACTCTTGGGAAAAAGCGCTGGCCCAGGTTTAGTTAGAAAGCACAGAGATTGTGTCATTACTCGGAACGTGCAAAAACAAGTTTTTTTTGACACGCCCTTTGAAATAAAGGTGGTATTAATAATAGCACAAGTTCTGTGACACACTGATCTCTTTATTCATTCGGATATTGTGTGTCTCTCTCCGTCTTTGGCAGGTATCTACAGAGAGTTGTGTTTGGAGTCTGTGAAGAACAAGTACGACTGTGAGATCCAGGCAGCATGTCAACACTGGGAGGTTGGACACACAGTTTCAGTTTAATATTCCAAACTATTTTTTATTTATTCAGATATGTGGTAATGCAATTGTTTTCTCTGTATTATTATATGGTCTTTATATTATAAAGGGCTTTGAGGTGATTACTGCTGTGATTTGGCGCTTTATAAATAAAACTGAATTGAGCCAGTCTGTGTGTATGATTATGTGTTTTGTGTGTTATTTTGACTCTGTGTGCAGAGTGAGAAGCTGCTGCTGTTTGATACAGTGCAGAATGAGCTGGAGGAGAAAATCCGAAGACTAGAGGAGGACAGGCACAGCATTGATATTACATCAGGTAACACAGTCATCCATGTTTTTTGACTACGTTTGTACCCTCCCACCATATACGTGAAGTCACGTTACAATGAATGCAAAGACAAAACATTTGAGTTTTTGTTTTTATTTTTCTATCAGAGCTGTGGAACGATGAGCTGTCAGGAAGGAAGAAGAGGCGAGATGCTTTAAGTCCAGATAAGAAGAGGAGACGCCCGTCGGTGGTGTCTGATATCCTTCTAATGTCTTTACTCTTGCTCATAATGATTCTACTCCTAAATAACTTAACTACTTGTGCTGTAGCCATGTGTCTGATTACATTTCATCCCTGCTCTAGCAGTCAGTCACTGTCTTTAACTTTGCTTACGTCCATATATTGTCTACATGCTACCAGATCTGGACATCCTAGAGGACTGGACCGCGATCAGGAAGGTATGTGTTAATGGGCAGGACTCCACCCTCTTTCTTATTTCTCAGGTTGTGTATTCCTGATTCCTCTCCTGAGGCTCTTGCTTGTGAGCCATCTTTTCATAATGTAACATGTGGCACACCTGGAATCCTCATCAGTTTTCACCTTGAGAAATTGAAGCAACAACTGTCTACAAAGTACGTCCCTCTCCTCCAGAAGCATTTTAGGAATTAAGACATCTAATATGTACTGAGATTGATTTCCAAGTCATAGGCAGGAGGATGAGGAGGCACAAAATTCAGAAATGGGAAAATCCTCTTATCTTTGTCTCTTTGTGGCGGTTTATTGTGTGTTTAGGCAACATTTAACAATCATGTGTGTGTTCATCCAGGCCGTGGCTACGCTCGGGCCTCACAAAGGGAGATCTGACTCTGAGAGCTCTGCGTTCCCATTCAGACCTGACAGAAGCAGGCCCATTCTAAACTGCTGAGACACCCACACAAGCAGCCGCATAGGAAAAAACACCTCAAGGACCTCCGACACGGAAACCTCTACATGACACATGGTGGCATTCAGGTCTGCGGTCATAAAAACGCACACAGCAGGACATTTCTCAGTCTTCCCAGAATCCTCTGCACTTCTCAGCTGACAGTGATTCCACCTGTCTGTGAGATGATTGGTCAAGCTGCCTCTCCTGCCAACCATCATGACTTTAATAGATAAACAGGAACGGAAGCATTATTGATCGCCGCTCGTATGTTTGGGTATTGCTGCTTTATTTCACACTCAGGCTCTGTAGACGGTTTCAGCCGACACAGGTTTTTGTAGTTTGTTAAGAAAACCACAACAATTAAAACAAACATCTCATGTTAAATGTTATGAAAACGGCTCAGCGCGTAAAAGCCACTGATGCTACAGCTTAAGCATCACTGAACCTGTTCTTTTCAGTCAGTGTTTAGATTTTGAATACATCCATTCACTTCGGATGCACAGATGGTCTTCATTAAAAATTTAAAAGCTTCTCAAAGGTCGTATTCGGTGAGGTTGGTGTCCTCGCTCCACATTGTGGTTGCCTTGAGTGAGTTAATTGGTGAGCTTATGCTGGTAAAATGGGCGGGAGTATGAAAATGAGTCATTTGTTTAAGCAAACATTTCAGCCGAGCATCAAATTCACATTAAGTCTGACCTTTTACAGCTTGCAAACTCTGTGTCGATTATTGGTTGGTGAAGAAATCAGTCGTTCTGTGCTCAACAAGGTCGAGGACTTGGTTTGACTTCACAGATTCACCATGTGTTTTGCTGTAGATTTTCAAATATCAGGCTTCCAGTGATTAAGTGGGGGGAGAATACAAGTTCATCAATGATGCCATAAAATATATGGATTTTTTTGTTTGTTTGTCTGTTTTTTGGCCTTTAATACAGTTTACTTTGTTTTGAAGACCATCCATGAGATATTTTACCAATAAAACCAATAAAAGGGGTTATTTGGAAAAGAGTAATGCACAGAATTCCTGTCAGTGAGCTGACTTACAAAGACTTTTTGTCATTAGTGTAAGAGTAAAAACAGGCATTTTTCTTTTCAGTCTGCCTTGTTCATACAGTACAGTGTTTATGGACAGTCAAGGCATATTCCTCTGGCTTGTAGTTGCAGTGATGGAATGCTAAAACAGCAGTCTCTGTAATGTGCTGAAAGAATTATCCACCAATGCCAGATCTTACTTTGAAGGAAGTGAGCCCGATCTGTGCTGAGACTGACCAGAAAGTTTCATTAAATTCTGTTTGGTTTATTTTATCATAATCCAGTGGATATAAAGAACAGAAGGTGGACTGTTTTAAGTCAGGGCCAAATGTAATGTATAAACATCACATGAAAAGTTAAAGTGCTAATGTTGTCATTCTGCAGGTGTTGCATCCTCTTCTCTCACATCTACCTCTTTTCTCTCTCTCATGCTCTTCAAAGTACAGTTCACATTTTTCCTCATGAACGTGTAAATGCTGGCATCTTTGTGAACACCGTTGGGTAACTTAGTGGTTGGCACGGTTGTTCAAATTTGTTGGCATTGTTTTGTTGTTATAAAGCCTGCAGTAATGTTAATTGTACGTGGGGGGGGGATTAAACCACCAAAATCCTTTAATCAGTCATCTCACGGTTGATGATGAAACAAAACTGCCATTTGATAACATTGTTTTTTATGTTTGGGTTCTGGGGATGTAATATTCAAAAGTTTGGACAATATGTTTTCACTTGTCCTTTTCTTGTTTATCATGTTGATGATTTTACAATTAAAAGTTGTTTTATAAACGTGTCCTTTAGGCGTCTTTTTGAAAGCGCTGTCGGCAGTGCTACTTCCTCTCGATTTCAGCCTCGCATCTTTGCAACTGATTGCTTCATTAAAACCAATGAAATATTTAGCAACTTTCTGCAGCGGAGTTTAGAGTGCTTCCACATCTTTAAAAGGAAGCAGCAATGGATGCAGGAACTAAACGGGGAAAACCTGTCAAGCTCTCAAAGTATACATTGTGTACTCAGCAGACGTATTTCCTCTTTCAGAAGAACGTGCAGTATTCTCCTACATTACCTAATGATTACAACAGGTTGGAGGATATACAGTTACTATTTAGTAACTGTATATCCTTCTACTGTTTTTAAGTTGTGGCAGGCAGGCCCTGCAACTTTTTTTTTTTCATGTCTCAAATCTACTTGATGTAACAGACTGAGCTAATGTAAATCCAAATAAATATGCCCCTGTATTATAATAATTTGTACACACAAATACTGTATAGCAATATATTAAAAATAGGCTGCACTAGCTCCATCAGATTAAGTTACAGCATCAAAACATGTTGATTCAAAGTTCCACGGCGGAGGACTAGCACACATTTAAATGCATTTTAGGTTTTACAGTTGATAAAGACTTCATTCATATTAAGAGATACACAATTAAATGACAAAAGTTCTAACCCCCTATTAAAACTTTTTAATTATAGGACAGTCTGGGTAATGAGCTAGCAGATCTTTTTCTCAAGTTTTACATGTTTAATGTTGACAGAAACTTTCTATTAAGATGTCTCAGGGATTCAATATTTAATTGAACTTCTTTTCACCATCAATTTCAGTGGTTTGGTCCACTTAAGATCAGAGTGGTTTGTATTTGGTCATCGATGTAAAATGAGATTGACGTCCCTGCATTAGTGGAATAATCACTGTGTGGTATCGCGGGGCAGCTGTATATTTACTGGGAGATATTTGTATAATTATGACTGAAGCTGGAGAAGTAAACCTTTATTTTCAGATTTTTCTGAGCATCTTTTTTATATTCTGGAAATGTATCATGTGATAAATCACCAGACGTTGAGATAAACTGTTGTATACAGTCATGGTTAAAATAAATCAAAGTATATTTTGCAATTTCAGAAGTGTCAAATTTAAAACAATTTAAAAATTTATTAAAAAAAGTTACATTCTAATGTTTTGTTTCTCCTGATGACTTTACAGCTGTATGCATAACAACTTACATTAGTAAATATGATGACACTGACAATTCAAGTCTTTATTAATCTAGCAATAATCACTTTTTACAAAATTCACATCAAGGTATCCTCTGTTCCAGTCAGTCTATTAAACTCACTCCTGTGACTGTTTATTCAGGGAAACATGAGCAGCTATTATAAGCCATGTTTTTCAAAGTCTAGGCCATATTAAAGTCACTGTAACATGATCAAAAGCACTGTTCAACTGCTTCACTCACTGTGAAATAAGAAGAAAAATCTCCCACTTCCCACAGGGAAGTCAGTGAAATTCAATTATGCAACTCTGATACATTTCACCAAAAGCAGTCTCATTTGAGTTCAAGATCAACTCAGCTCAGTCGCAGGCAAAACCAGGCTTAACGTGTTCGGACTGAAGTGTCATAAAATCCAACAACAAGATGCTAACCAGCTACTTTTTTTTTTTTAAATTATACTGATGATGACAGACAAAAACTATTTCAGGGCTAGTTGTGTTTTTGCCATGACAGACATGCTATGATTATTCAAATCTCTCCTTCATCTCGGTGAAGTATTCCCATCAAAAACCTCTGACGCTGACTAGACGACGGGCAGCTGTTTTTGGGGTCATGTGACACACACAGTCCAGGCCGAGTTTACTTTAACATCAGCTTCCTCATAGAGAATGTAAATGGTGAGAGAAACAGGCGAGGGAATAACAAAGACGTAAGAAATAATGTCATTGGACAACAAGCAGCAAGAAAACAGGCCAATGAAGGAGGATGTTCTCCCCTGCAAACACTATTCAATAAACACATCCTTCTGGTGAATAAATAGTTGTTTATGGAAAAAGGGTAACCAGCAATCTGCCCTACACTGTCCACGTTAAACATTAACCAGAAGTTCTTCGTCTCACAGCTGATGTAGAAACTCAGTCAGGCTCAAATGGCGTCTTCAGGTGAGGTTGCGTTCTCTGGAGACTGGCTTTGTGGTGCGGAAGGGAGGGATTGATGAGGTGGGGGAGGGCCCATGGAAGAAGGTGGGTGGCCGTCGGGAGAAGGGGGTCGCATATTGGGAGCATAAGAGGGCATGTGAGGATGAGGACCAGCAGGAAGGGGAGCTCCACTAGGATGGTATCGAGGAGGGGCCATCACTCCTGGAGGTTGAGGAACCCACACTGAAGGGGGAAAAAATGGAAAGGTTAAGTTTACAATAATGACATCTGGAGATGGTTAAAGGTGCGAAGACGGATGAAAGTTCCTACTAGGCCTGATGGGAAGTCCCCCAGGTCCCCTGGGAGCATAGAAATCAGGAGGTGGGGGTCCATAAGGGGCTCTGCGAGGAAAGGGACCATCCATGGGACCCATTGGTGGACCCATCCTTGGATCTGCTTCAGGGGGAGTCCTGCGTTCAGGACCGGACTGTTGGAAGACAGAAAAAGATTAGATAGGCTGAGCCACAAATAAACACTCAGTATTCACACACAGACGCATATACTTACCTCTCTATGGTCCTGTTCACCAGGTCCAAAGCTGTTTTCTCTGTAGGAATCTGCATTGATAAAACATTTAGTGAATTAACAGAAATATGGGGGTCACGTGTGCATTTCAGCACATGCTAAGGAGGATTGCTTTTCTTTACATGTCCAACTTTACCCATTTAGAGTCAAAAAAGAGAGAGAGCAGAAACTCACCTGGCATGTCTGCAGGGTGAGAGGGTCCTGGAGGGACATTCCGAGGATGGTGGGGGCCAGGAGGGAGTGGACCGGGAGGAAGGGCACGAGGAGGGAGTGGACCGGGAGGGAGGACGCCAGGAGGGAGGATGCCAGGAGGGAGGGCGCCGGGAGGGAGAACACCAGGTGGGAGGACACCGGGGGGAAGGACGCCAGGAGGGAGAGAGTCAGGAGGAGGCAAAAGGCCCAGAGCTCCTGGAGGAGGTAGAGGTCTTCTGTACATGGGAGCTCCTGGTTCTGGAAACATATAACCTGAAGAAGAGAGAGATGGATAGTAAGAAGATATTTGCTACACAAATCTGTGGTGACATTCAGAAAACAGAGGATAGAGTGAGTGTCTGAGGGTTTACCACATAAGAGCTGGAAATAGAAATGTAGTAATACGTTGTACAAATACTTTCATCACAGGGACAATTTTAGCATCCAGAGTAAAAACTCAAAATGCTTTCAAGACAACGCACATGCAACATCAACATGCTTTAGCCCCCCACCCCACACACACACACTATACTTATATTATATTTAAAATGCAAGATGCACATGCACACAGTAATAATATGCATGACAACTATGTTGAATATCAACTAACTTCTATTCATATTTGTGTATTCATGTACTCATTCATTCTTTTCATACGCAAGTG